ACCTTGTAAACACATACATTTCCAACACATATGCCATTAAAGGTATTTGACTCTGAATACCAACAAGATTTTATTCCGTAGGGCTCTAGTCTACGAAAACCTTTGGCTTGAATAAAATCTTATTAGCCTCTGTGGCGCTAAAAGGCTCCTCTTCATTAAGAAGAGACGGCAGCCATCGCAACTGGAATTAGCTTTATGGAGTTTTGGAGCTCTACCACTAGGCCACGGGTTTAGGCCGGTAAGGGGGTTTCTACACCCTCCTCTGAATCCTAGTGGCATTGCACATTGTCTGGATGTGAAAGGAGATGCCTCGGGGCTCCCTTTTCCGTGAGGATGTCCATCATTCTGGGCCTGCTACCCAAAAATTTTTTGGGGGGATGTGGTGCCCGGGGGTGCCATGGCACCTGCCAATGCCTTTCCTGGCACACACCAAATATCTTTAGGAAGTGGGAAGTGCCAGGTGGGGCTTTTGCCCAGCAAAGCTTCTGACTGGCCATTGGATTTGTGGTGCAGATTTTTAAGAATGTTGGGCTGCGATCATACGCACAATTAGACCCGACATAAGTGCAAATTCCGGGCAGATTTAAAGGGTGCAATCAGACAACAACATCTGGGAAGCGCCCCGCAGCCGTTGGCAACCCGTTCTGCCCCGCCACAGAAGCAGAGTTAAAAGACACCGGGGAAAACCCGGTAGTAAATGGGTTGCCACAGGCCATGAATGGTCAAGTCCGACTCTTCGCGACCCCATGGACCAGATCATGGCAGGCCCTCCTGTCTTCCGCCGTCCTCTGAAGTTGGCTCAATTTCATGTCCGTTGCATCGATGACACTGTCTAACCATCTCATCCTTTGCCGTCCCCGTCTTCTTTGACCTTCAATCTTTCCCAGCATCAGGGTCTTCTCCAGGGAGTGCTCCCTTCTCATTTGGTGGCCAAAGTATCTGAGCTTCAGTTTCAGTATCTGGCCTTCCAGGGAACAGTCAGGGTTGATTTCTTTTAGGATTGACTGATTTGATCTCCTTGCAGTCCAAGGGACTCTCAAGAGTCTTCTCCAGCACCATAATTCAAAAGAATCTATTCTTCGGCGCTCGGCCTTCCTTATAGTCCAACTCTCGCGGCCATACATGACTACTGGGAATACCATTGCTTTGACCATGCGGACTTTTGTTGGCAGGGTGATGTCTCTACTTTTTATCATGCTGTTTAGGTTCGCCATCGCTTTCCTCCCAAGGAGCAGGCGTCTTTTAATTTCATGGCTGCTGTCACAGTCTCCAGTGATCTGGGATCCCAGGAACGTGAAGTCTGTCACTACTTCCACGACTTCCCCTTCTATTTGCCAAGGAGTGATGGGGCCGGATGCCATGATCTTAGTTTTTTTGATGTTGAGCTTCAAGCCCACTTTTGCGCTCTCCTCTTTTACCCTGAGCAAGAGGCTCTTGAGGTCCTCTTCACTTTCTGCCATCAGAGTGGTATCGTCTGCATATCTGAGGTTGTTGATCTTTTCCCCAGCAATCTTAATTCCCGCTTGTGATTCATCCAGGCCAGCATTTCGCATGATGTACTCTGCATATATATTAAATAAGCAAGGCGACAATATACATCCTTGTCGTACTCCTTTTCCTATGCTGAACCAATCAGTTGTTCCATATCCGGTTCTAACTGTCGCTTCTTGGCCCTTATACAGGTTTGTTGTAGGACCTGACGTTTCGCCAGTAGCTGCGACTGGCATCCTCAGAGGTATAACACAGAGAGATGGAGTACTCTCTTGTCACATCTTTTCTGTGTTATACCTCTGAGGATGCCAGTCACAGCTACTAGCAAAACGTCAGGTCCTACAATGCCAAGACCACGGCCATATAACCTGGAAAATCTATAACCGCTAATGAACTCCAGCCGTGAAAGCTGACAACATATATGTTGTAATTTGTTGTATTGATACAAACGACAAGGATCATATAAGTTACACTGAGCACCAGTGTATTATTTATTAGTAACTTTAATGAAGAGTCTGTTTATATTAGTTGCCATCTCATGGTATATATTGTGTTTGTATTGGGTTTAACCGTCCATGAGCCTGTAGTTTGAAGTAAGAGGATTCCAAAGGTGGCCACAGCCAGGCTCAAAAAGGTTGGGGACCCCTGGCCTACATGATGTTCTGAGAGATGGACTGGCTTTTCTGGTAAAGGCCCTGCCAGACATTTCGGTATCTGGGGTGTGTAGGAGTAATAAGTGGAGCGCAAAACCAGTTTGGCACTCTCTATGTCAAAACAAATGGGTGCACCAAGACCTTGTGATCCGCACGGGGCGCAAACAGGTTGCCAAAGAGCCTGTGTGGGCAATTCAAGCCATGATCCGTTCATTAGATACAAAGTGTAGGAAGGCGGACCTTTTGTCGGCCAATGGCCTTTGTCTGTTCCCTTGGGATTTTCCAGAGTCTACAGGTGAAAAGATGGATGCAGCCTTAAGCAGCTTCCAGAAAGGACAAGAAACATCTGTGAAAGAGCTGAGAGTCAAAGAAACAAAAAATGTATTTCTGTACAAAAGTCTCTTCAGAAATCCTGATTCACTGGCTTCCAAGTGGCCTACACCAGGAACAAACAGCGAGCCCCCCAAAGGGTCCGTTTCCCCCCACAAAGACTTCTCCCTGCTTCACCACGTGATCCTTGGCTGAGTAAGCTTAGCAGTCTTTGGGCAAAAGGATTGGTCCTCTCATGGATTAAAAACTGGTTAAATGACAGGAAGCGAAGAGTAAGAATGAACGGACAGTTTTTGCAATGGAGGGAAGGAAGCAGTAGGGTCCCTCAAGGATTAGTATTGGGCTGGTGGTACTATTTAATTTGTTCAGGGGTCATTTCGTGGAAAAGAGGTGCAGGAGCTCATTAGCATAACTCATTAGCATACCTTATTTGCATATGCCACACACCCCTGACATCACCGGAAGTGTGTCAGAAGGCAACACCCACCGCTCAGGCTCCACTGGACCATTTTGGATTGCTAGCTATGGGGGGACGGATGGACATGCAGATCTGGCCTCGCAGAGGAGGGAGAGCTTGTACCTGAATAAAACTTGGTCTTAAAGGTGCCACTGGATTGTTTTGGATTGCTAGCTGGGGGGGGGGATGCACAGATCTGCCCTCACACAGATCTGTGCAGAAGAGAGAGAGAGAGAGAGAAGGAAAGAAGGAGGGAAAGAAAGAGGGAGAGACAGAGGGAAAGAAGGAGGAAAAGAAGGGGAAAAGGAGGAAAAGAAAGAAACAAAGAAAAAGAAGGAAAGAAATAGAAGGAAAGAAGGAGGGCAAGAGGGAAGGAGAGAAGGAGCAGGGTGCAGGGCTTGTTGCATGTGCCTGCCCCCTGGGCTCTTTACTGCCAGAGCTCCGCTCCCATGCGCTCCTGCAGGAAATGACCCCTGAATTTGTTCATAAATGATCTGGAACTGGGGGTGTGTAGTGTAGTGGCCAAGTCTGCAGATGACACAAAATTATTCAGATTGCTGAAAACCCAGGATGACTGTGTAGAGCTCCAGGAGGAGCTCAACAAATTGGGCGAGTGGGCGACAATGTGGCAAATGAAGTTCAGTCTTAGTAAAAATAAGGTGATGCACATTCAGACAAAAAAAATCCCAATCTCAAGTACAGACTAATGTGGTCTGAACTTGCTGAGGCTGAGAGATGAAAAGATCTTGGGGTCATAGTAGACAGAAGTGTCAACCCAGTGTGCTGCAGCGGTAAAAAAGGCAAACTCTATGTTAGGGATTATTAGGAAGAAGAAGAAGTAAAATTGTAAAATTGTGCACGGGGATTGAGAGAGCTGACAAAGAGAACTTTTTCTCCCTCTCCCTAAATACTAGAGCTCAAAAACTCCATGAATCTGATGGGTAGTCGATTCAGGGTGGACAGAAGAAAAGACTTCTTTACACAGCCAATTATAAAAATACAGAATTCGTTCCCAGAGGCTGCAGTAATGGTCACAGCCACAGATGGCTTTAAAAGGGGACTACACAGATTCATGGATGTTTTAAAAGGGGATCAGACGGATTCATGGCGGTCTACTAGCCATGGTGGCTAAGGTGAACCTCCACATTCAGAGGCGGTAAACCTCTGAATACCAGTGCTAGGAGGAGACATCAGGGGAAGGCCTCGGTCTCTATGCCCTGCTGTTGGCCGTCCAGAGGACCTGGTTGGCCACTGTGTGAGGCAGGAGGCTGGACAAGATGGACCACTGGTCTGATCCAGCAGGGCTCTTCCTATGTTCTTATAAGGGTTGCAAAGAACCACGTACCCCTCACATCTTTATTAAGAAACTCAGCCCTTTTCTCCCATGCAGATGAGAAGCAACAGGGGCAAAGAGCTTCTTCTCACAGACATCAGCAAAAGAGGCTTTGAGATTTCAGTTTATACACATTAGCTACTCACTGGCCTGTACCAGAAAGGAGCCACAGAAATGTTATACACAAGAAGAAGAAGAAGAAGAAGAAGGAGAAGGAGAAGGAGAAGGGAGGAGGAGGAGGAGGAGGAGGAACAGGAGGAGGAACAGGAGGAGGAACAGGAGGAGGAACAGGAGGAGGAGGAGATTGGATTTATACCCCACCCTTCACTACCCATAGGAGTCTCAGAGCAGCTTACAAACTCCTTTCCCTTCCTGAGGTAGGTGGGGCTGAGAGAGCTCTTAACAGAAACTGCTCTTTTTAAAGAACAGCCCTTATCAGAACTGTGGCTTGCCCAAGGTCATCCAGCCAGGTGCAAGTGGAGGAGTGGGGAATCAAACTCGGTTCTCCCAGATTAGAATCCGCGCACTTCACCACTACACCAAACTGGCTCTCTCTAAACCTCCACTGCTGATTGTACTGGGGAAGAAAGGGTTAAAGAGCCCTTTGCTTGGGTATCCTGAGCGGACCATAATTACGGAAAGGCCAAAGGGCCAGCACCACAAAACAGCCTCTCTAAATGAATAGCTACTGACCAGCATCCTGTATTCTTGCTTTCCCCTCTCTCTCCCATTACAGACACGTCCACCAGTGAGACGGCCACGGATGTCAAAGGAGATAGTCTTGAAGCTCTAATGAATGAGGTAGGTAAACCTATACACTGCAATCGTGCCACGGAAGAAAACAATATGCCCCACAAACTCAGGAAATACTGCTTATCTGGAAAGGTCCAGATTTCGGGATTAAGTAAAAGATGCTGAGTGGGAGTTAAGGGGATCCACCCCCTGGGAAGAGGGTTGTCAGCTCCCACCTGTCCACTGAGGGGAGGATGGGGTGGTCGGGTTGCAAGATCCAGGCTGGGAAACTCCCGGAGATTTGTGGATGGAGTCTGGGGAGGACAGGGACTTCAGTGGGGTACAAGGCCATAGCTCCAGGCTTTCAGCTGAGGTACCAGCCTCACTTAGGTTCACTGGGCTGGATGGGATCTGGCAGGACACCAAGTCTTGGTAGGATGAGAAAAGGACACAACCCTGCAGTACAATCTATTTTACTGAACCTTGGTGCACAAATCGGTGCCCACGTGTTCCCATTGCCAAATTGGAAACACACAGTCCGAGTCCAACGAGTTAGATGAATATCTGTTTAATGGATTTAAAACCGGGAATACAGGGCTGAGCACCTTAGCACTTCAGCAATTCCAAAGCTGTATTCTGCCATAACCAGGAAGGGCAGAAGGTCTTATACCCCAAATGACATCACATATAGTTTACACAACATTAAAGAGTCTCTAATTGGTACAAAGCATCATTTGACTCAGTGACACTCTCAGTAGTGTCAGTAATTACGCTTGTTTATCTTGTCTTCAGAACACTGGGAACCTTAGAAACATTGGGTCTCTTCCTGGGCTCGCATGTGGAGAGCTAGCTGATAAGGGCTGTGAGTCTCATTAAACTTCACTCTCAGTGGCCTTGCAACTTCTAAATAGCATTCCATTCTTATTGCATTCTAATTCCTTCTACAGAGGTTTCTTATACACAAAAATGCAGTTATAAAATATATGTTCTGCTATAAGTTTCTCTAATCAAATGATTCTAGGTTACATGCCAAAATCTGGATCTATTTTGATTAAACTTTTGAAGGCACAGTGACAGCCGTCAATACACATCAAGGAGAGAGTGTCAGAAATCACATTCAGAAATCACATTCTTTGTCCTACAATCTTAAGCAAAATAACAGAAAAGCTTAGAGAACAGAACTTAAACACAATGTATACCGGATACCCTAAAGCTAAGAAAGACTGTCATGCAGAGGGCCTTAAACCTGCCAGTCTGATTTACAGTAGAGTTGCGGTGGCTCAAGTGGTTAAGATGCTGAACTGCAGGCTGTGGAAGGTCAGTAGTTCAGCAGTTCAAGACCCGAGTGTGCTGCATGACGGAGAGAGCTCCCGTCTCTAGTTCCAGCTCTTGCCAACCTAGCAGTTCGAAAGCAAGAAATTGCAAGTAGATAAATAGGTACCACTTCGGTGGGAATGTAACAGCGTTCCGTGCTCCTTGGTGTTTAGTCATGCCAGCCACATGACCACGGAAACGTCTTTGGACAGCGCTGGCTCTTTGGCTTTGAAACGGAGATGAGCACCGCAACCCTAGAGTCAGACTCGACTGGCTTTCGAGCAAGGGAACCTTTACCTTTACCTTACAACGGAATACTGACACTTTTTACACCTTTTTGCAAGATAATAAAAGATACACATCAAACGTCCTGTGGCCAGACCCAGGACTGTGGGCGATTGGGGGCTGCCTTGTGCTGCGCCTGGGAGACTGGCTAAGACTGCCCCTGGTCTGAGCAGCTTGCTGTATGAATTATAAAGGAACAATTGGTTCCCTGATCTTTGCAGAGCTGAGAAAAACACAGAGGAGGGCAACCAAGATGATGAGGAGCACCTTCCCTATGAGGAAAGGGTGGGACTTTTCGGTTCAGAAAAGAGTTGACTAAGGGGGGGACATGACAGAGGTTTGTAAAATTATGCATGGGGTGGAGAGAGTTGACAAAGAAAACTTTTCCCCCTCTCCCAAAATACTAGGATTTGAGGGCATCCAGTAGAGCTGATGGGCAGTAGGTTCAGGACGGACAAAAAAAAGGAAATACTACTTTACACAAAGTGATTAAAATGTGGAACTGGCTGCCAGAGGATGTAGTGCTAGCCACAGGAATAAACAGCTTTAAAAGGGGATTAGATTCATGCAGAACAAGTCTATCAATGGCTACTAGCCATGGTGACTGAGGGGAGCCTCCACATTCAGAGGCACTGAACCCGTGAATGCAGAGAAGAAGAGGAGGAGGAGACCGTGGAGGAGGAGGAGGAGGAGGAGGAGATTGGATTTATACCCCGCCCTTCACTACCCATAGGAGTCTCAGAGTGGCTTACAAACTCCTTTCCCTTCCCCTCCTCACAACAGACACCCTGTGAGGTAGGTGGGGCTGAGAGAGCTCCGACAGTAACTGCTCTTTTTCAAGGACAGCTGTGCCAGAATTATGGCTTGCCCAAGGTCATCTAGCCAGGTGCAAGTGGAGAAGTGGGGGGAATCAAACCTGGTTCTCCCACTTAACCACTACACCAAACTGGCTCAGACTGGCTCAGAGCCAGGAGGCAACCTCAGGGGAAGGCCTTGGCCTCTCTGCCCTGTTGTTGGCTCTCCAGTGGAACTGGTTGGCCACTGTGTGAGGCAGGATGCTGGACTAGATGGACCCCTGGTCTGATCCAGCAGGGCTCTTCTGATGTTCTTATGAAGGCCTTGGTCTCTCTGCCGTTGTTGGCCATCCAGAGGAACTGGTTGGTCCCTGTGTGAGACAGGATGGTGGACTACATGGACCACTGGTCTGATCCAGCAGGGCTCTTCTTATGTTCTTACAGGGCCACCATATTTCGAAAAGCCAAAAAGAGGACATATTTCCCAACTACTACTTGAAACAAGTGATCACTGTGACCAATTTCATTTTAAATACTCCTACTATTTAAGCTGTGATCATTGCTACTAACAAGGAATATTCCTAAGCTTCCAACCCAAAAAGAGGACATTTTCATCAGTTTTTTTTTTTTTAAAGCCCCAAAGAGGAAAGACACCAAAAAAACCCAACCCCAACCCAGGACATCTGATAACCCTGTTAACATGATAACATCTGATAAGGTGTACTCTCTCAAAGTCACACCTGCTAGCAGCTGGACAGGCACATTTTGAACCAGCGGAAGTCTCTATGTTGTCCTGATGGGCTGCCTTATGATAGATACATTGCAGTAGTCCAGTTGTTATTTTACTCAAACAATAAAGCACCTGCTGGATGCTAATTGCTGTACAAAATTCCACAGCACCCTTGGCCTTCAGCAAACAAACAGAGAAGAAGAGGGAGGGGCAAATGCCCCCAAGATCAGCACTAGGGATCACGCCGAAATGCTGCACTGGGTGGGCACAAAAGCAGGGAGCTTCGGGTTCGAGTCTTAAGGCTCTCGCCATTTCCCTCCTCCAGAGCGCCGTGAGCAGAGTGGCCGGTTTCCCTTTGATCAGTGCCCTGTACAGCCTTTGCGCCTCCTTGTACAACCGTACCAAAGAAAGGCACCCGTATTTCAACAAGGCTGCCCACGTGCTGGAGACGGTGACCGCGGTGGCAGTAGGGATCGTAGTAGGGGGCACCAAGCCAGTCCTCAACCGCATCGTGCCCCGCAGTGAGTATTAAGGTCGCCCACTGGGTGAAGGGGGGAGGATTCCTTGCATGGAACGCCCAAGGGCAGGGGCAGCTTCACACACTGCACAGACGTGTCCTAAATGACTTAACTCGAGTTCAGCAGAACCTGAAAGACTGACCAGATTGGGGGGGGGGGGGGGGGGCCTTTTGGGTAGAGTCAAAGCTTTGTCAGATATGAGTTGGAAGCAGGGCTATTTTTGGGCAGGAACGCACAGGAACGGAGTTCCGGCTGGCTCCCGAGTTGGCCACGCCCAGCAGGAACTCATTAGCATAATAGGCCACACCCAACAGCAGGAACTCATGAGGATTGGCTACATTAGGGGTGTGTGGCCTAACATGCAAAGGAGTTCCTGCTACAAAAAAAGCCCTGGAAACCGTTTTGACAACAAACAAGGTAAACAGAATAAGAAGGGAAAGGTGGGTGTGGCTGAACACACTTCTGGTAACATGGGGGTGCAGCCTAATGTGCCAATGAGCTGTGCTGTCTGGGGTGTGGCCCAATATGCTAATGAGTTCCTGCTGTTGGGTGTGGCCTATTATGCTAATGAGTTCCTGCTGGGCTTTTTCTACAAAAAGAGCCCTGGTTGGAAGGGAGCTTTGACTCTTGGGAGCTTGATACTCTGAAAATCTCATTGGGTCTCTAAGGCCCTGCCGGACTCAAATCCAGCTCTTCCACTGAAGACCAACATGGCCGCCCTCAGAAACCACCTCCACGGAAGGCACCGCTTTCAGCCACGCGGAGTGTGGAGAGGGGAGCTCTGACTCCCAAAAGCTCATATCCTGCAAATCCTGGTGGTCTCGAGGGTGCTGCTGGACTTGAACCCGGCTCTTCTCCTGCAGACCAGCATGGCTGCCCGCCGAAACGAAATTATATTTAATGCTTCCATTCTCTCCACTTTCGGTCACCCGAAGTTAAATCTCGGGACGTGGGAAGAGTTTATTACAATTTTATCCAGTTTTTTCAGAGTGAACCTGTTTTGCAGAGGGTTCAGCTGAAGAGCACGATGCTCAGCTAACAAGGACTTGTTTGTGGTCCCCGGCAGTCTTCACGCTAAGCTGAGTTAGTGTGAGCCAGCTCACAGTTTTTTAGCCTCCGGCTCACACCTTTTTGTCCTAGCACAGGAAGGGTGGCTGCAGAGCAAGCTCATTTATGCAGCAGCCAAATCGCTCGCTCACAACTTTAATGCCGGTAGCTCACCAAGTAGAATTTTTGCCCACAAGACAGCTTAGAGGGAACATTGGTCCCCGGCCCGAGAGATATCTGACTGTCCTCGACCGGGGCCAGGGCTTCTAGTGCCCTGGCCGCAACGGGAACCTGTTTTGCAGAGGGTTCAGCTGCAGAGCACGATGCTCAGCTAATAAGGACTTGTTTGTGGTCCCCGGCAGTGTTCACGCTAAGCTGAGTTACAGTGAGCCAGCTCACCTGGTCTCTTTACCGCCGGAGCTCCGGTCCTGTGCGCTCCCGCAGGAAATGACCCCTGATACGGCCACTGTTTAAGCTGAGTTAGGGTGAGCTGGCTCACAGGTTTTTTTAGCCTCCGGCTCACACATTTTTTGTCTCAGCTCAGGAAGGAGGGCTCCAGGGCAAGCTCATTTATGCAGTAGCCACACTTGCTCGCTCACAACTCTAATGCCGGTTGCTCACGAAGTAGGATTTTTGCCCATGAGACTCTGCAGCTTAGAAGGGGGCATTGGCGACGGCATCCATCTGGCTGGCACTCCCATGCCCTCCCCTTTCCAAGGTAGCCCTCTTGGGAATTTTGACCACCCTCTGTCTAAACCGGATTGTTGTTTGGATTTTGTAACAATTTTTAATGTTTTTTTGATTGATAGGATACGTTTGTTTTAATATGCTGTTGTACACCGCCCTGAGCCCTGTTACAGGGAATGGGTGGTATGAAAATTGAATGTAATAAATAAGGACTACATAATTTTTATAGTCCTCGTAGCTAGGTCCAAGATGTTTGCAAACACACGTGCCACACTTGGGGTCTAAGCTTTGCCATGTCTTTGAACTACCGTGGCCCAATTTTAAGGCCCTTTCCTTCTTACCAGTAGCCTGATAGCCCAGTACTTGGATGGGAGACTGCCAAGGAAGATGGAGCTTGCTGTGCAGAGGAAGGCAATGGCAAACTACCTCTGCTCTTCTCTTGCCTTGAAAACCCCATGGTCCTTTTTTGTTAAAGTCCTCTTAGGTTGGTCAACTCCTCTAAGCTCTTGAAAAACATACCTGGCAGAACCTGAGTTGTACAGCCTCAGTTGCCTTGCAAGTAGAGATGTAAAATTTTCGGAAATTTTGAACCTCGGTGGGAAAAAAGGAAATTTTCGGAAAAATTGAAAAAAATGCTACCTTAGCACTTCTTTTCTTCTTTTCCAGATTGAAAGTCATTCTGTTACTTTAGGAACATAAAATATGACTATGGACATTTTTATTATGCATGAAATTATCACAACTAGCCTATTAAAAATATAGTGTATCCAAAGAATTATTACAAACAGAATACCCACCCACATGCAAAAACAAAACTGAAACCTTTTCTTTTCTTGTGACGATAGCACCTCCTAAAGGAAGAAATGCATCTTGTTCTTGCATTGGAGAGTTCAGTTTGTAACCTAGGACTTGCTTGTCCTCAGTGCACAGAAATTAGATCAATCTGATACCATACATATTTTTTAGAAATGATTTGGAAAATATTTGAACACCTTGTCTTAAAATATTTTATTCATCATGTTAAAATAAAACGTTCCATAATCAATTTCTTTTCTTTTTCCAATTTTTCAGAAAAAAACAAAAAAAGCTTCAGGAAAAAAACGGGGGGGAGACATTCCCCCATTTCCCCCCCGAATTTTCCCGGTTTTTTTTCTGGGCCTTCACATCTCTACTTGCAAGTGATAAACCTGACTAAACCTGAGTTGTCTGCAGTTCCTGTCCGGCCTTGCCGGGCCTTTCTTGCAAACCAGACAGAACAATAAAGCCAGAACTACTCTTCATTCTTTACGGGTCTCGGTTTCTATTCAGAAATGACCGGAGGCCCTTCTTCTCGTTCTGAAGCTGCTGATCTAACTTGGCTTCTCCAATGGAACCATTCAGAGCTCATGTGCTGCACCCCAGGATTTCAAGCATTTAGATAAATGGTAAAACACACACACACACACACACGGTGTTACCAAAACCCAAAGCAGAGAGAGGTCATTGTACTTTCGATCTGGCTCAAAGTGGGGAGTTTTTAAAACACGTGAATGTCCATTTCTGCCTAGTTTCAGCAATGAACAATTACGTGAACCAGGGACTGGACAGAATAGAGGCGACCCTACCGTGCCTTCACCAGCAACCCACTCAGGTAAGCGTGTCTTCTTCCTCTGTACACCTAAATCTGGCTTTATCTTCGAGGAGCACAGGTCAGTATAACCCCACCCCCATCTTGTCCTCACAACATCCCTGTAAGGTAGGCTAGGCTGATAAAGAGTCCCTGCTCCCAGATTTCCCAGGGATGATTCATGATTTAATTAATCACCTACAATTCCTCCCTCCCTGCCTGCCTATATGTAGATCTGAGTCCAGAAGCACTTTAGAGACCAACAGAATTTTCAGGGTATGAGCTCTGACTCTTGAAAGCTCATTTCCCAAAACTCTTGTAGGTCTCTTAAGTTGCCCCTGGACTTGAAGCTACCTGTTCTACTGCAGACCAACATGGCTGCCACCGAAACTACCGTATTTTTCGGACCATAAGACGCACCTAACCATAAGACGCACCTAGTTTTTAGAGGAGGAAAACAGGGGAAAAAATATTCTGAACCCTGGGGCTCAGTATTCGGTCCATAAGACGCACACACTTTTCCCCTCACTTTTTTTGGAAGAAAAAGTGCATCTTATGGTCCAAAAAATACGGTATTTCTACATGTATCATTCAACCTAGTACATTAGACAATGAGAAGGCCTATAGCAGGGGTGGCCAAACTGTGGCTCGGGAGCCACATGCAGCTATTTTAGTGGCTCCCGGCAGGGCAGCTGGGGAAGCGAAGGCGAGGCCTGCTTTTTCTCCCTCCCTCCTATTGCATTCTTTGTTTCTCTCTCTCTCTCTCTCTCTCTCTCTCTCTCTTTCCACCTCTTTCATTCTTTCTTTCCACTTCTCTCTCTTTTTCTTTCTCTCTTAGGCAAATAAATATCATTAGCAAACAAATAAAAATCACTGGACAAATAGCTATCATTATCCATGTTTCTACCCCCCCCCCCTTTGTTTTTCACAGTCATTTGAGGGGAAAACATAGAGTTTTCCCCTCAAATGGCTGTGGCCCCGCCCCCAGCGTGCCCGGCGTCATGACGTCACTTTCCTGTGATGTGCATGCGGCGCACGCACGCGCTCCGGGAGCCACCCCAAAGTCCCCCGCTGGCAAGGTAAGTCCATTTGGCAACCCTATTACCAGAGTAAATTATACACAACACGTTACCTCAGCCCATGTTTTAATAGCAGAGGGCAGAAATTCAGCGACGTGTACTCTTTGGTGCACCCCGGCCAAGAACATGTTAAGAGTCTTCTGATTTGAAGTCTGGTCTCCTGAGTCCAGCTCTTTAACTGGGGGGGAGGGGTTTGGGGAGGGGCCTCAGCAGGGCATCCCCCCCCCAACGCAGCCATTTTCTCTAGAGGAGCTGATCTCTGTCAGCTGGAGATCAGTTGTAATTCCTGGAGAACTTCAGGCCCCATCTGGAGGCTGGCAAAGTCTACCTCCTCTCTAGAGATTTGCTGAAGGCAGCTAATAGAACAGAACAATCCAACAATGAAACCGTTTAGAGGGGGGGGGCACACAAAACATAAACTCCATCAACAATAAAAAATCAGCACTAAAAGATGCGCCAAGAACACCACCACACAAAAAAAGGCCAAAGCACTGCGTAAAATAAAGCCAAGGCACTGCAGGGGTCTTGAAGGAGAAGTTAGCAAAGAATGCACTGGCAGAATGTAGGCCATAAAAACAGCAACCCAGAATGTCATTTCATTGGGATTTCCTGTTTCCCCTGGTCAAGAGGATTCTGGGTCGCGCAAATACCTCACTGTGAAGTCATAGAATCACAGAATCATAGAGCTGAAAGGGAGCCCCCAGGGTCATCTAGTCCAACCCCCTCCACAATGCAGGAAATTCAAACTGCCAGTGACCTCAGCTCCATGTCCAGAAGATGGCAAAAAACCCCAACCCTCCAGGATCCCTGGCCAAACTGGCCATCACCTGCAATTCCATCTTCTAATCATAAGAACAGAAGAACATAAGAGAAGCCAATGTTGGATCAGGCCAAAGGCCCATCCAGTCCAACACTCTGTATCACACAGTGGCCAGAAATACCAGGTGCCATCAGGAGGTCCACCAGTGGGGCCAGGACATTAGAAGCCCTCCCACTGTTGATCCCCCCAAGCACCAAGAAGACAGAGCATCACTTGCCCCAGAGCCCCTATCTATACCTTGTGGCTAATAGCCACTGAAGGACCTCTGCTCCATATGCTTATCTAATTCCCTTTTGAAGCCGTCCATGCTTGTAGCACCCCTTCCTGTGGCAGTGAATAAATGTCTTATTCCATTTATTCTTTGTCCATTTATTCTTTGTTGTAGACTTATGTCCATTTATTCTTTGTTGTAGGGACTGGCCTGTTGGTCCAATGTAGAGGGTGAAAGGGCATTTACTGACACATGTAGGGGTGTGGGCATGGAGAAATCAGCACTGGTAATGAGACAGGAAACCTAGGTCTGGATTCAGTCCAAGAGGATGCATTGTCTTTAGCTTCTTCATTATCAGTTGCAATTCAGCAGTCTCTCTAATCCTCAGCTCCATGTCCAGAAGATGGCAAAAAACCCCAACCCTCCAGGATCCCTGGCCAAACTGGCCATCACCTGCAATTCCATCTTCTAATCATAAGAACAGAAGAACATAAGAGAAGCCAATGTTGGATCAGGCCAAAGGCCCATCCAGTCCAACACTCTGTATCACACAGTGGCCAGAAATACCAGGTGCCATCAGGAGGTCCACCAGTGGGGCCAGGACATTAGAAGCCCTCCCACTGTTGATCCCCCCAAGCACCAAGAAGACAGAGCATCACTTGCCCCAGAGCCCCTATCTATACCTTGTGGCTAATAGCCACTGAAGGACCTCTGCTCCATATGCTTATCTAATTCCCTTTTGAAGCCGTCCATGCTTGTAGCTGCCACCACTTCCTGTGGCAGTGAATTCCATGTGTTAATCACTCCTTGGGTGAAGAAGTACTTCCTTTTATCTGTTCTAACCCGACCGCTCAGCAATTTTATTGAGTGCCCACGAGTTCATTAGCCTTGGGGGTGGGTGGGAGGTCAGTGCTCGATCCATCGGTCTCCTGATTTTCAAAGGGACGCAGACAGTCCTGCAAGACACTGGGCTAGAAGGCCTTTTCTTCCTTCCACCTGAGTTGTGTTCTGTGGTTTCTCTTCCTCCCACAACTTCTAGCTGTATGAAGATGGCCGCAACTTAACCAAAACAGTGGTTTCTTCCACAGTCAGCACGGCCAAAGACGCTGCTTCTGGAGCCAAAGGTATCATAACCCAAAGAGTGGCAGAAGCGGCAGACATCACCAAGGATATCGTGCATGACAGTGTGGACTTAACCAAGTCAGTCGTGGCTTCCACGCTGGACACTGCCAGGGAGGCAGCATTCGGGGCAACGGATCTCATGGCCAACAGAGTGGTCGATGCCGTCAACTTGACCAAAGGGACCGTCCAGGACACTGTCGACTTGACCAAATCTGTGGTGTCTTCCTCGATGAACACTGCTAAGGACGCTGCACTCAGGGCCACAGATCTCGTGGCCAATCGAATGGGCGACATCATTAACTTGACCAAAGGGACAGTCCTGGACAGCGTTGACTTGACCCTGTCGCTGATGAATTCCACAGCTGACACCACCAAGGATGCCACGTTCGGGGCCACAGATCTCGTGACGAATAGGGTAGCCGACATCGTCAACCTGACCAAAGGCACTGTTCAGGACAGTGTCGACTTGACTAAGTCGGTGGTGACGTCCACAGTCAACACTGCCAAAGATGCGGCATTCGGGGCAACAGATCTCGTGTCCCACAGAGTGGCCGACATCGTCAACCTGACCAAAGGGACTGTTCAGGACAGTGTCGGCTTAACCAAGATGGTGGTGAATTCCACGGTGAACACGGCTAAGGATGCTGCCTCCGGGGCCAAAGGTATCATGACCAACAGAGTGGGCGAAATAATCAACCTGACCAAAGGGACTGTTCAAGACAGTGTTGGCTTGGCCAAGTCGATGGTGTCCTCCACAGTGAGCACCGCTCTCCAAGCTGCCCAGGGAACGAGGGATATCATGGCCGGCCGGCCATACAAACCTGCAGAGAACAGCAGTGACCAAATTGTTGAGCTGACCAACTTCCTGAAGCAGATCGTAGCAAGTGGAGTGGAAGCTATGCTGGAGAAGTCGGAGAGACTGGTGGATCAGTTCCTGCCCGTGACGCAGGAGGAGCTGGGTAAGAAAAGAGCTGGATGCTTTGTAGCTGGATGCCCGTGTAAGTGTCTTTCGGGCGCTGCTTTCTATCTGCCCTTCAGAACTGAGGCTGTCCTGTCTTTCTTTTGCAGAGAAGCTGGCCACAGAGGTACCCGGTTCAGAGAAAGCTTCCATGGAGGATGGGCAGCAAAGTTATTTCATCCGCTTGGGGTCCCTCTCGACCAAAGTACGCCATCGGGCCTATATCCATTCCATCAGCAAGCTGCAACTCCTTAAGGAAAGCACTCAAAATATACTTTTGCAACTCCAGATGGTCATTGACTTGGTAAGTCCCATTTTAACCATCCTCACCCCCCGTAGATGGAGAGAAGACGGCATGGTATAGCCCCATCTCATTAGATCTTGGAAGCTAAGCAGGGTCCTTACTTGGATGGGAGACCACCAATGCTCCCTCTAAGCCAGAGGTTCTCAACCTATGGGTCGCGACCCCTTTGGGGGTCGAACGACCCTTTCACAGGGGTCGCCTAAGACGATCGGAAAACACAAATTTTCGATGGTCTTAGATAGCAACTAAACTAATTTTATGGTTGGGGGTCACCACAACATGAGGAACTGTATTAAAGTGTCGCTGCATTAGGAAAGTTGAGAACCACTGCTCTAAGCTGTGGAGTCTTGTGAGCTACTGGCATTAAAGTTGTGAGCGAGCAATTTGACTGCTGCATAAATTAGTCTGCTCTGGAGCCATCCTTCCTGAACTAAGACAAAAATGTGTGAGCTGGAGGCTAAAAACCTGTAAGTTAGCTCACAAACTCAGCTTAGAGGGAACACTGGAGACCACCAAGGAGGAGACTGCAAAGGAAGGCAATGGCAAACCACCTCTGCTTCTCATAAGAACATCAGAGGAGCCCTGCTGGATCAGACCAGTAGTCCATCTAGTCCAGCATCCTGTCTCACACAGTGGCCAACAAGTTTCTCTGGAGGGCCAACAATAGGGCATAGAGGCCAAGGCCTTCATAAGAACATCAGAGGAGCCCTGCTGGATCAGACCAGTGGTCCACCTAGTCCAGCATCCTGTCTCATACAGTGGCCAACCAGTTCCTCTGGACGGCTAACAACAGGGCACAGAGGCCAAGGCCTTCATAAGAACATAAGAAGAGGCCTGCTAGATCAGACCAACCGTCCATCTGGTCCAGGATCCTGTCTCACACAGTGGCCAACCAGTTCCTCTGGAGGGCCAACAACAGGGCATAGAGGCCGAGGCCTTCATAAGAACATAAGAAGAGGCAAGCTCAATCAGACCAGTGGTCCATCTAGTCCAGTATTCTGTCTCACAGAGGGACCAACCATGGGGCTGGCCTTGTCCCAAATCCGGAAGCTTCAGCTGGTGCAGAATGCAGTGGCCAGGCAGCTATTGGGCCTCCCCATGCGAGAGCACATTCAGCCTGCGCTAGAAGCATTGCACTGGCTGCCTATAGCATACCGGATTCGCTGTAAGGTGCTTTAAAAAGCCCTTTATGATCAGGGGCCTACCTACCTTAGGGACCGCCTTTCCCCACATGTTCCCCAGAGAGCACTAGGGTTGGGGTCTCAAAACCCTCTGGACCTCCCGGGTCCTAAAGATGCTAGGCTAACAACAACCAAGACCAGGGCCTTTTCAGTGGCGGCTCCATGCTGGTGGAACAAGCTCCCGGAAGATACTAGGGCCCTGAGGGACCTTTTACAGTTCCGCAGGGCCTGTAAAATCGAGTTCTTCCACCAGGCCTTTAGTTAAGGAGCCACATCCAACAACTAAGACCCTGTGCCCAATGTCACCATAAATAGCCTGCACTTTGCCAAACTACAATAACAACCGCTGACTGTATTTTTATGTCTGCTGCAATTACTACCTTGCCATCGCCATATAACCTGACACTAGCATTATAAGTCTTGTTTTCAGAGCTATAATTGTTGTTTTACTTGTCAAATTTTACGTAAGCCGCCTTGAGCCTGCCTTGGCGGGGAGAGCGGGATATAAATAAATATCAAATAAATAAATAAATAAACAGGCATAGAGCAGGGGTGTCAAACATGCAGCCCAGAGGTCAGATGAGGCCCCCAGAGGGCTTCTATCAGGCCCGCAGTGGAACTGGCTGATTCTGCTGCTGCTGCATCTTACAGCTTACAGATACACACCTGAACAGTATACTCAAGATTGCAACAGCACAGACATTTTGATGCAATAATTCAGAGCAAGAGGTGTCAATTATCAGGCACTGTTAAACAAACAAAATATTGCAAGAGTGCTGATGTTTTAAGCATGTTTTTATTTGAAGTTTAAAAAAGCCCTTGGAAAGCACACCATGACCTGAATTTGGCACAAACAGAACTGGTGTTGTGCTACAGTTGATAATATGAACAGCAAGGAATGTAAATTGCAAGCAAATAGAGACTTTTTTTGTCTATAATTTTTTTTTCTAATCTACAAAACTACAGGGTCAGGGTAATGGAAAACCTAAAATAAGAGTAACAAGGATCCATAATACAGACATATAAAGTTATTGATACGTCACTGTTTTTTGTTTTCTTTTTAATACTTGCCCAAATGGGCAAAGTTTTTTTTTTAGGATTACAGAAAACAAAACAAAAAGAGCAATACATTTTTAAAATATCTAGACATTGTCTCGCTCACAACATCTTTATATACATAGTTCCTTTTTCCTCCTTGGTTAACTTTATATTCCACAACAAATACCATTAATCAAAATTCTATTCCCAATATATAGTTCATTTTTCTATATCCCATCTGCTGTATTTCATTTTATCTATGCTACCCTATTATTAATCAGTTTTATAATCATAAAAATAGAAAGGGAAAGAAACAGGTGTTTCAACAGTTTAACAGTTCTAATTTGGGCACATATTTCTTGTATAATAACAGTTTGGTCCCTTTAATATATTCCTTCACCTTTTTAACTTTCAAAATCCCATATACTTGCAAACTTAAGCATATTATTTTATATTTTTCTTAGCTTTACAGTGCCAATATGTTTTCACCTTGCTCTATGTAACTCCATCTTTTCTCTCACAATAAATCATTACATCTTCTCTAGGTGATCAGCCCATTACTATTTTTTTTTCTCTGCAAAGCCCACTCTAAAAATCAAACTGTCCTATAGGTTTTCCCCCCTCCTTCAACCTTCAGTTAGATCATTAAAGATATCCCAAACCTGTTGTTTCAAAGAGACCAACCATTACTTATAACTTTTACTAATCAATTGGAACAATACAAATAGTCAATATTTATAACTACAGATTATATTCTTAGTCAATCATTTTGCAAGTGTCAGTATAAGTTCAAAGAAAAAAAAGAATAAAGATATAGTATGTAGACATGTATTTCTTAACATTTAAGGTTCCCCTTTGAATAAAACTTTCTCTCATTGACCAGTTAAGCCATGACATCTATTGCCCGAGTTTCCTGCTGCCTGCCCAGGTTAATCTTTATCCCACCTTTCCACCATTGAGCTCACAATGGCATACATGGTCTCCCTCTGCCTCCAAGTTTACCCTCACAGCAACCTTGTTATAAAAAAGATAAAGAGTCCAGTAGCACCTAAAAGACTAAAAACTTGTGGCAGGGTATGAGCTTTCATCAGTTACTGTATCTGAAGAAGTGAGCAGTGACTCATGAAAACTCATACCTTACCATACATTTTGTTAGTCTTTAAGGTGGTAATGGACTCTTGGTCTTTTCTACTGTTACCAGGGGTCATTTCGTAGAAAAAGAGGTGCAGGAGCTCATTAGCATAACTTATTTGCATATGCCACACCCCCTGACATCACCGGAAGTGTGTCAGAAGGCAACACCCACCGCTCAGGCTCCACTGGACTGTTTTAGATTGCTAGCTATGGGGGGGAGGGACGCGCAGATCTGTCCTCACAGAGGAGGGAGAGCTTGTACCTGAAGGTGGGAGGGGGCCTCTGCAACGTACCTGGCTGCTTCTTGCTCATCGTGGCCCGACTGATTGCTGGGAGCAGGGGGTGGGGCTTGTTGCATGTGCCCAACCCCTGAGCTCCTTACTGCCGGAGCTCCGCTCCTGTGCGCTCCTGCAGGAAATGACCCCTGTTACAGACAGACTAATATGGCCCCCCATCTTGATCTATCTGAAGAAGTGAGCAGTGACTCACTACGAGAGCTCCTCCCCTGCCACAAATGTTCTTAGTCTTTAAGGTGCCCCTGGACTCTTGCTCTTTTCTACTGCTACAGACAGACTAACACAGCTACCCATTTTGATCTAACAACCTTGTTATTTCTTGTGGTTTGCTTTTTTCCTCCTGCATGTTACCTTGGACATTTCTGCAGAAAGGCAGTTTGGGAATACACTCCAGGATGTACACAGATGATGAAGCCGCCTGCTCCGAACCGAACCTTTGCATGCCGTCCTAAACAGAATTGCATCCTTCTCAGTCCATTGGAGTCAGTGGGGCTTAGAAGGGTGTAACTCTTCTTAGGACGGCACCGATCGCCAGCTAGTGTGGATGGGACGAAGTGGGCTGGCTCATGATTCCAAGGCCTACAGCAGA